ATATACAAAGTTTTACATTGTAAATAAAGATTACTTGAATACATTTTACAAGTGTTACTTGCTGTTCCTTTGTAATTATTTGTAAAATTTGCTAGCAATTTCTGAGTGAAAATAGTTTCTGCACAAATATCGTTCAGTGCAGGCTTTAGCTAGTTTCCACTGAGAGCATTTGGCTGATGTGTGTGTACCGGAGAGCAGGCCGTGAGCGTGTTGCGTGCAGTCGTTAGCGTGTAGCGCGGCGTTGCGTGCCGACTGCAGCAGGTTGTAGAGCAGCTGGCAGCCTCTGTCGGTGGACTCCATGCTGTCCTCGCCCTCCATCAGCCTCAGCAGCGGCTCCATGTGCGGCAGAGACAGCGGCCCCGACACCACGGCGTCTATCACACACAACACTCGTTGGAAACTCACTCAGCGTCCACACCAGACAGCTCATGACAAACACTCACCGTCGCCCTCATTCAGGGATTTCATGAAGGGCTTGAGACTCTTTTCAAACTTCACTGCACTGTCGGTGTGACTGCGCCTCAGCGCCCTCCACGTCATCTCCAACCTCACCACCTGTGATATTATTCATATATTAAACATTAAAATCATAGAAAGAATATTGTTTTTTCATGCATTGGTCATTTTTGAGATTTTGGCTTTTCATAACATGTGTGTGTTCTGCCCACCCCGTCATGTGCTGGTCCACCCTGTCATCTTGATATTTTACAATGATATTTTAAATATTTTAAATATCATATCTATATAATCCAGTGTGTTAAATAGCTAGGTGTGGGATCAATAACATGCAAACCAAAAACTGTATCCAAATATCAGATTTCTCCATATAAGAAAAAATACATGTGCGAATTAGGGGTGTGCGATATTGACAAAAAATTATATCGAGATATTTTATGGGATTTTATCGATAACGATAATTAGACGATATTTTGCTGATTGTGTTATTGTGCTGGTACCTTAAGGACTGCCGAAGACAGCTGACTCCTAATGTTTTTAATATTCTTCATATTCTGTGT